CAGAATTCCCCAGCCAGCCATGCTGGCTGGGGAATTCTGGGAGTTGAAGTTCACCCATCTTGAAGTCGCTAAGGTTGAGGAACCCTGTCGTAAAGTATGCATTGTATATGCACTATTCTAAATTTTATAAAGTGATATTGTGGGAGGTTTTTAGTATTAACTTTCTGCAGAGTTATTAATAGGCCTGGGCAATAACTCTCCATATGTCTTTCTTGATCTCTAGAAATGGCACCTGAGAATTCGCAGAAATTTTATCAGCCACCAGCATTTATTGTTACTGTTGATCAGGATATTATTGCTGCTCTTGTTCAGTAATGAGTGTGTACAAGGGTACACACTACACCGCTTGTAGAGAGATGGGTTTCTTGATTGTGCACAGCCATGCAGATGCATTCCCCATAGAAAATGTGAAAAAAACTTGGGCCAATAATTTTTTTTTTTTAATTTTTATTTTTTTATTGAAAAGGAAAAAACACACAGAAAGTGCTTTAACAAAAATGTGAAAGAAATACAAAAAAACCCATGTTGATATGTCATTATAACAATAAACAATTACGATTCTATATATACTTATCTAATGCAAATATTATTCTAGTACATTTCTATGACTATCATAGTTTTTTTAACCTACTGTATTTTGTATAAATGAGTCCCATATTTCATTGTACTTGTCCATATAAAATCTACGTCTATAGGCAATCCACTTGTAAGTAGCAAGGGCCAATAATGTTATAGAGCAGTGTTTCTCAAACTCAGCTACATTAAGATGCGGAGACTTCAACTCCCAGAATTCCCCAAAGGAGAAATATCCTTAGGTATTGATTTAATTCAGTGTTTTCAAGCTCTGCAACTTTAAGAGGAGTGGACTTCAATTCCCAGAATTCCCCCCCAGCCAGGCAGCTAGCTGGGGAATTCTGGGAGTTGAAGTCCACACCTCTTAAAGTTGCTGAGGTTGAAAAACACTGATTTAACTTATATCCTACCTGGTCTCCCCACTCTGTCCAGCATCTTCTCCACTACACCTGATTGGCTCTTGGGCTGAGCTGGAGGGACTGGCCCAAATTCAGCCAATGAGCTTCTGAGGCTGAGGGTGGACTGTTCTATTTAGGCGCCTCCAGACGCCATGGTCTGGAGAAGGAGGTAGAGTCTGGGTCTTTCACCTCACCTCACCTTCGTACAGTGGGCTAAGCTGTGCATTGTTCAACCGCCATTTGCTGAATAACTCTCAACTGGTTGGGAGCTGATAAAACGCTAAACCTAAATCCATTGTGCTAGGTCACGATTTGTGGATTTAGCTTTTTTGCGTGTGTGGTCTTTGAGTCCATCTGGACTCCTGGCAAATGTCTAGATTAGTCCCTGCTGTTTTCCTGGCAAGATTTTTGGAAGTGGTTTCCCCTTGCCTTCTTTTTCCTTGGCCTGAGAAAGAGGAACTGTTCCAAAGCTGGCATTTCTGCTAAGGCAGGACTAGAACTCAGAGTCACCCAGTTTCTAGTCTGGTGCCTTTAACCACCACACCAAACTATCTCTCAGCTATATTATGCTAAGCTTTATATAATTTATATATACTACAGTGGCTGGGGTTCATACAATATACTAAGCCCAAACTAAACAAAATACCTAGTGTGGCTTGGGGGTTATGTAAACCAGATGATTGTACATGCAGAAAGTGGCTAGTCCTCATGATAGCAACACTGACAACAGCTTTCCTGTATTCTGGAGCCTTTGTAGCACAGGGTGCCATCTTCTCTGACTTGAAGCTGCTTCTGGAAAGTAATTTTCTAGGGGCGTTGGCCTGAGTTCCCTGGAACGGTCGTTCCTCTGAAAAAGGAATATAAAATCAGCTTTTTTCCGTATCCCCAGAGATGCTTTGACTTTCAGAGCAACCCCCTTCCTTCCCCCACCTCTGAATAACATGCACATGTTTTGTGCAAATGCCAAAGCAGCTCCTGAATGAAATATATATATTTTTTCTTCTTTTTAGTAGGGAAAGGCAAAATGAAAGGTCTTTCCAAAGAAGAACTTAAAGGCCCTGAAGTATGCAAGGACCCGGTGATGCTCACCACCCACGCTATGGGAGTGAACATCTACAAGGAAGGGACGGATGTAGCACTGAAGCCAGACTCCGAATATCCTGAATGGTGAGCAGTGGGCCTTAGCAGTTATGATTGCAGGTGAAGGAGAAATGAGATTGGGGCGGCCGGATTCTTTTGCTCCTCTTTGCTATTGCGCTGTTCTGGGTAAATGAAGAAAAGGACACCAAAAGTTGTATTGGGTCCTGATTTCTGGAATCTGCAAATGTTGGCTTTCTTAACGAATAAAGTTTCTAGTCCTTATGGCTGCAAAGAAAGGCACAGTGGTCCATGGATTAGGAATGAAGAAGTGGACGTTCTGGAACATTTTGGATCAAAAACACACACACACACACACACTCTGTAGTGTTTTGAATTGAATTCTTCCCTCCCAGCCCTAACCCCAATCTGGTTTTCCCTCAAACCTCCAGGGTTGGAGCACCCACAACTTCCGGAGGCAGCCTGTACCATTGCTTCATAGCCCTCAGAGTCAGGAATTTCCTCCTTAGTTCAAGTTTGGACTTCTCGCTGTAACGCTTCCACCCACCGGCTCCCAGTTTCAAACTGCAGTTCTTTACCTCTGAATCAGGTTCATCAAACTCGAGAGGCAGAGAAATTGCAGAGCTGCAGGGAGGGAGAGAGAGGAGGCCGATGTAACCAACATTGAGAGGCAATCAATTAGTCCTACAGGGATGCTAGAACCCCACAGTTATTCAAACCAGAGGGCAAGTGCAAAGCCACAAAATATACTGCATTTTTAAATTTATGTATGTATGTATGTATCCCCTTCATGGATCACTGCCTTGTTGTGGCGAAGGGGCTTGCGTAACTCAGTGAAGC